GATTGCCTGGACCCTGATCAGCCAATATCCAAAGAGCGCTTCTTCTCCCTGCTGGGAAACACTTGGAATTTAGAGGCCACTTGCTGCCTGTGCCTGGCAGACTTTGAAGGATTTGGGGTGGGGCATAAGGAGGGGAAATGTCACATGACACAGTGACATCACTGTCCCGGCCCTAGCTGGGAGCTCCAGGAACAAGCCACAACCGGACCCCCACCGACCCAGTCCAGGGAGGGTTCTAACGACAGAGCGGGCAAAAAGATGGAGACGGAGCTGCGCAAGAGCAGCAGGCCACTCAGAGGTGGCCCGAAGGATGCTGGGGCACGCCAGCAGTATGAGCAGAGCGGAGGACGGCGGGCCCGAGAGCTGCGAGCTGTGGCGGGGCTGCACGGAAGCCTGGAAGATGCCCGGAGACGCGGAGCTGGGAGAGAGCTGGCTGTGTGGGACGGCTCCACCCCAACTCGGCGTCCAGGGATTTAGCTGGGGGCGGGGTTAGAACCAAGGGGAGGAGGAAGGGCCAGAGAGGGAATAAAAACGGAAGGATGGAGGCAGCCGGGGAGGAGACTGGGCTGGTGAAAGGAGACGCTGAGAGAGAACTCTGACGGTCAACCCCAAGGAAGCCAGATCCCAGACGGGACGAAAGGGGGGTGACGTAACCCCCCTTTTTCTAATAACCCGTAGTTCTGAGGCTACTCCTCCACCTTCCTTCCTTTTCCCCCTGGCCCTGGACTCCTACACAGAACCGTAAGCTGAGAAGCGAAGAAGGACCTAGGGAGGAGAATATCCTGTTGGAGCCAACCGTCCAGGACGGCGACTGGGGGGGGGTCAGTCGGCACCAGCCAATGGGGGGGGGGGCACCACAACAATTTCCAGAAAGACCCAAAAGTGGCATCATCACATCACACAGTGCTCTAGGAATCACCCCAAATCTCTGTGGTAAAAATACAACAAAAGCCATTTTGTTGTGATGGTTCTTTACAGTTGCTTAATTTGCTGTGTCTTGAGAGCGAGGCCTGGATTCTTAGTTGAGAGGGGAACACACTTCTGGTCTATGAAGTAGTGGGTGGGTGGGTGGAGCCTGCTCTTTAAAATTTGTTTTGTGGGTTCTTTTACAGTTAGTTCGTTCTTTTGCCATGTGCTGATGAGGTGGGGCTGAATTTTAAATCTGTCTTCCTTGTTTGAGGGTTTGGGGGGGGGTTGCCTTTTGGTCTGTTTGGTTCCTGTTTGTTTATTGTGGGTCACTGTTTATGGGATTTAAAAGTATCGGTGGATTTTTGAAAAAAAATCATGAAATTTTGTGTTCTGTGGGTGGTTTCTGGTTTTTGCATACTTGTGTGTGTGAGCTTGTGAGGGTGCGTGTATAGCATATGTGCCTGTGTTGAAAAATCTGCACTGGCTAAGTATGTGTTTCTGTGCACAACTCAGGATGCTGGTTCTTTCCTTTAATGGCTTGGGTCCAGGACACCTGAAGGACCACCTCCTCTCATACTGTGCAGCCCACCAGTTAAGATCTGCCTCTCGGCCAATGTTCCCTCTAAGCTGTGGAGTCTTGTGAGCCAAATTTCTACTTTGTGAGCTACCGGCATTAAAGTTGTGAGCAAGCGATTTGGCTACTGCATAAATTAGATGGCTCTGGAGCCATCCTTCCTGAGCTAAGACAAAAATGTGTGAGCTGGAGGCTAAAGAACTGTGAGCTAGCTCACATTAACTCAGCTTAGAGGGAACACTACTCTCGGCCCCGGCCTCCGGAGGTGAGGGAGGTGGTGACGAGAGGCAGGGCATTTTCTGTGGTGGCCCCTCCTGCCTCTCAAATGCCCTCCCCCTTGAGGCTCACGGAGTGCCTACTTTCCAGGCCAAAATACATCTTTTTACCTATACTTTTATGTGCAGCTTTTATTTTACCAGCTTTTAAAATTGTCGGCTCCTGTTTTATGGATAGCTTTTAATACCATTTGTGTCCAATAGCTTGTTTTTTTAATGACCTGCTTTTATATTGTACTATTATTTTCATTGTAAGCTGCCTCAAGGACAACTCTGACAGTTTTGTTGGGATGCCAGTGTGTACGTGAAGTCACGGTTGTCCTGTGCTTGGGGGAGGAGAGTGCCCTTCACCTGGGACCTTTGGGTCAGCTCCAAGGGCAGCCTGCCTGCCTGCCTGCCACTGACTGCACGCTGGTGGCTACCTGAGCAGGCTGTGGGGAGAGGCAAGGGGCCAGTCCTAGGGATGAGAAGGCGGGCTGTTGAGCTGGTGACCCAGTTGTGGGCCTGGCACACACAGTGGCCAGTCTCTCTGGTCCTGTCCAGCAGCAGTTAGAGGACTGAGGGAAGTAACTGACAGCAGGCACCAACGTTAAAGGCAGTGGTGAGGTGTGTGGGCCTGGATGGCCCACCTCTTTCATCTGGTGGCCAAGGAAGCCGTTGGGCTTGGGTTCCTCAGAGGAGCCCAGTGGGGTGTTGCCACCCATAAATGACCAGAGGACCATGCTTCACTTCTCATGCAGCATGAAGACCAGCTTTTCTGCTGCATGAGAGGCAAGCAAAGGCCAGCCTGCTGGAGCAAGGCCTGATCAGTGACCTCCTCGCCTTTTGGAACTCCACCTGCTCCATGCACTGAAGAACTGGCGGGACGGAAGAGTGCCCTGCCCAAGGTGGCATCAGTGAGGAGGAGGGGCTGAGGTTCTCCTGGAGGCTGTGGTCGCTTTGAGGCCCTTCTGGGACTTCCCTGAGGCCCTCGGCCGGGCTCAGGTCATCCTCTTGGCCCGGGTGATTTGGGGGACAGGCGGTGGCCTCCCCCTCCCTGACCCAGGGGTCTGGCTGGCATCCAGCGTGGCCGTCACCAAGGGGCTTCCGGGCCCGAATGCAGCCGCTCACCCAGAAGACGCTCTGCATGCTGGCGGTCGAGCGTTATCACCTCAGGTCAAAGGCAGCGTCGTCCTGTGTGCCAGCACGCTCGCCCACTGGAGAGACACGCCCTCCTTGTATGGGAGCCAGCTGCGGGCCAAGAGAGACCTGCTGGCATTTCAGGGGAGGAGGAGGAGGTAGGGGACAGCTCTGGCACTCCCCCCCCCCTCGGCCCTTCTGCTGGCCACTGTGAGGGAGGCCAGGTGGTGGCAGGCCAGCGGGCAGTGGGCGCTGGTGGCATCATGAGGCACAGGGTGGAAGGCGGGGTGCAGGCGGCGGTAGGGGCTGCCCAGCAAAGGGACCACTGCTGATCCATTGAACTACTGTGGCCGGAAAGGGGTGACGTGGACACATCTTTCCCCTCTGGCCCCAGAGCCCTTCCACTGCCCTCATACTTTCACTCACTCACTCACTCACTCACTCACTCACTCACTCACTCACTCAAGCCTGCCTGCCTGCCTGCCTCCAGTGCGGTGCCCTTTTTGCTCTTCCTGAAGGTCAGCTGGCCCTCTTTGGCCTTCCACCCCCGGCTTTGCGGAAGAGTGAAGCAAGTGGGCTGTAGCAAGACCTCCGGACTGAGAAGATGGGAAGCCCTCCCCCCCTCCCCCCTGCAGATTGTGTGTGTGTGTGTGTGTGCTTGTGTGTGAGTCTGGGGTGTGTTCAGCTGTTGGGCCTGTGCGCTGCTGCCAGATTGTATCTGCTTGGGGGTTGCTTGCTGGCGCTCCAGGGCAGGGGCGCATGGAAGGTGTGGATGCAGGCTTTTTGCGAAGGATGGTGCTAGAGGTGTCAACTCACGAGGCTGAGTGTTTGCTGAGACCCAAGTAAACAATCCCTGACCTGGACAGCCCAGCCCAGGCGAGCCCCATCTTGTCAGTACCTCAGAAGCGATGCAGGGCCAGCCCCAGGAATGGCAGGATCGTGGTTGGCGGAGGCAGCCAGTGGCAGACCACCGAGGATGGTCTCTTGCCTTGAACACCCTGCGGAGTGGCCCTAAGTCAGTGGTGGCTTGGTGGCCCTTCCCGCCTCCCCCAGGGGCAGGGGCGTTTCAGGCCATGAGCTGGCTGCAAAGTGGCGCAGCCCCTCCCCCCCAGATCCTGGGGCCCTGGACATGGAGGCCAAAGGCAGCCTTGTTGCTCACGTGCCATCTGTTCCGGAGAAGTATTGTTTGTGGGCCTTGAGGCAGGAACATGTTCTCGGCATTTGGTTTGTGGTCCTTTGTGGAGGGCGGATGACTCAGCACCAGATGGCGATGGAACAGTGGGGCAGATTCTGGGGGCGGGCGGGCGGGCAGGCAGGGACGACTCTTGAGCCCAGCAGGGGGTCCTTGATGACAAGGAGGAGGTGGCCTGGCGTGGGGTGCCGTGACGGAACCCCTTCCATGTCAGGAAGAAGGCAAATCAGATTCCTCGTGTGCCCTGAGACTCGTGCACTGAAAGAAATCCCTGGAGGATCACCGACCTGGTCTATGAGCTCCCCATGAATTTATGATGTTGCTTTAGAATGACCATAAATCACATTGACAGATGCATCTGCAAAAGAACCTTATGATGTTTGTTGCCCATCCTTCTCTTCCTCCTTCCGGTGTCTTTCCTGCTTTTCTCCAGTCCTCCCATTGCTTCCCCTGTGGTTTTCTAAGGACCGATTCTGTACCCTGGTCCTGTCCTACCCACTGCGCTCACCCCTTGCTGCTTTGATTTCCTGCCTCCTGCAGTCTCTCTGTAGGCCTGAGCCGTGGTCATGAGAAGTGAGGCTTCTATGGAAGAGTCCTCTGGCCAAACTGACCAAAGAAGCTGCACCTACAGTCAGGATTTGGCCTCTGCCAATAGGGACGGCACTCTAAGGAACAGAACCCTCCCCCCCCCACACACACACACTGTGGAATTGCCTCCTTCAGAAAGCCTGCCAGGGCAGCTGCCTTCTGGCTTAGATGTGCTGTGGATGAGCTGGCTGCTTTTAGGACTTGTCATTTGCTCATTTATTTTCAGTTTACTCTTAATGGCTTTATTGTGGATTTTAATATGCTTTTATGGTGCTTTGTTTCAGTAGTTGCATTGACAGGGGGCATAAACGTAATTAATGACAATGTGCATGTTGCTTCGTAGATTGGCGACCACAGTGGGGAGAGAACTGCTCGTGCAAACATTGCACATTTGAAGTCTCTCTTGGGTCTGCAGCCAAACGAGGATGAACAGGGGACGCCCGTTTGCTGCACCAGCTATGAAGCGCAAGGTGAGAGATTCCTTCTGTGTCGATCCTGCCAGGCTCCTGCTGTCTGCAACCCATGCGTGGAGGAGCTGGTGTCTGTCCGGGTCACTGAATCCTGGATGCATGTGACGATGATTGCCATTGTCCCTCCTTAAGTTAAAGCACCAATACCCAGGTTAGGTCCGTGAAATTCAGGCTGCTGCTGCTGCTGCTAGTGAATCTGATGCCCTGGAGGAGGCAGATTACCCTATACTTGATGGTGCAAGATGATCTTCTTCAGTAAATGTCTTAAGACCCCTTAGACCCCACATTGCTACAAAACCCAGATCTCTTTATTTCATCTTCACCAGATTTGTGGGGTGTTAGCCCTCTTGGATCAGGCTAGCTTTGTTGTGCTGATCCAGACTTCTGTAACTACTGGGCTGGAGTGCTGTAACATGTGGAAGACATTGTGGAAGCTTTTAGTTAGTTAAAACAGGGTTGTGTCAGACTCCTGGAGCAATCAGTTCTCAACAACTTTCTTGCAAAGAAGTAAAGTTTATTGAAACACTGAAGTACGCAGGTTGTCTTTACACCTCTCGTGTTAGAACTGGCCACAAGCGCGGGAAGGAAGTAGATATACACAATTCAAGGGGGTCCCCTGGTGGCCTGGAGCCAATCAAGGAGCAGGCAGAAGCCCGCCAAAGCTAACAGGTCCAGTTTCCCCAGAGAAAGCTGCTCAGTGGCAGCCTCCCAAGCCAGGCCAAGCCAAGTTATGTGGCAGTGAGTTTCTAGGGGTTGTTTCTGGGCCTGGGTTCGGCGAGTTCTCCTCCATCCACGGATTTGAGAGTGAAATGGAAATCAAGGCCTGGAACTGAGAGCTGAATCAGCGCATGCCTTTGGTAAATCTGCAGGTACTGTAACTCTGTGTATTTATTTATTTATTTTGGGCTTATTTAGGTTTTTTTGACGTCCCAGGACTGTTTCAGGTTTCTCCCCAGTCTGTCCCTAGCCCCATTTTGCAGCTCTATTGATCATATCCTTTATGGAACGCTTTGGAAATAGATACATTGATGCCACTTCGGGAGGAAAGGCAGATGATGACAGTTTGAAAACCAGTCAGCTTAATATGAACATGTTTGCTTCTGAAACCAGAACTGGCCATACCCCGGAGGTGCCTCTGGGGGCTGAGTTTGGGCTCCATCGAGAGCAGGTGTGTTGGGGGAGGGGGGTTTTCCTCTTCAAGGCCAACTGGAATGAATGGGAGTTGCCCGTTGTTTGTTCTTGCCTTACTTCATTCTAATGGGCTGCTTCCCGCGTTCCTCCCAAACACCTGCAGAAGGAAACCCCTGCCAATCCTGAGCTGAGCAGCCAAACTGGAAGGGGTCATGTGTAAAATGCCCTGTGTGGGTCAAGAAGGCCAGACACATTGGGCCACTTCCCGCGGGCACACTTGGTAGCAGTTGCACTTGGGAGTGATGTTTCCAGTACTCAGTGTGGCATCACTCAAGGAGGGAGCATGGAGATTTCCCCCTGTCCCCTTTCTGTGCCGTTAAGGCAGCAGCAAACCAAACTCTTCAGCAAGATCCGGGGCTGCCCTACCTGGCACTGGACGAGAGGTGTGTCTCTGACCTGGCAGCAGGCACTGGGAAAACTTCTCTCTTAGAAGAACCATAGAGTTGGAGGGGGCCTCCAGGGTCATCTAGTCCAACCCTCCCCACACACACACACACCCCAGTGACCCTTGCTCCATGCCCAGATGGTAAAAAAAAAAAAAAAACCTCCAGGATCCCTGGCCGAACTGGTCTGGAGAACAGTTGCTTCCTGACTCCAAAGTGGCGATGGGCCTTTCCCTGGGCATGTCAGAAAGTGCCATGAGAACGAATCCCTGAGGCAGCCCTCCCTGCCCTCCCTCTCACGATCCGCCCCGTGCCACAGGATCCACCTTCCTGGGCCCTGGGAGAGCTGCTGCCAGTCGGAGGAGGCAGTGCTCAGTGAGGCGGGGGAGTGGCCTGAGCCACGGCAGAGATTGCTGCTGGCGAGCTCCACGAAGAGGGCAGACCCAGAGGGTGGAAGAGTCCGGAAGGGTGTTGGGTTCCCTCTACCTCATGAGATTGCTCTGGGGAGAGGATGCCAAACAGCCTCTGTTGTGCATTACATCCAAGAGCCCGCCATGTGGACCACAAGACCTGCTGTACAGGGGGAGTCTGAGCCACGAGGCAACTCGAGCAGTGACTCCAGGCCTCCCCCTGCCTCAAGTTTATCATCCCCTCCCATTGCGGCATGCAGGAGCATCCCAGACTGCCATGCAGGCAGTGAGCTCTGAGCCACCCTGTCTGGTTGCCTGCCTCTGTGGAGGGCGGGATGGTGGCGGGGGGCCCCTCCCACCCAACTAGCCCCCTTCTGACCGCCGCCACACTGTCCGCGTCTCGAGCAGTGCCTGCAGCTGAGGCATGACATACCTTCATGCGAGAGCCCCGTGTCCGTGCGGGTCACAGTGTTAATCCCAACTGGGCCCTTGCGCACTGGGGAATTGAGTTGCAGAATGGAACTAGTCACAACACTCAGCTGGCCTGACAGGCCCAGGATCAATGCAAGGAGTCAATGGGCCTTCGGTGCACTCAGGAATTGGGCGACACGAGCCATAATCATTGCTGGAATGGCACTACGTTCAAATTGATTCATGTCCATTATTTTTGGAGCCCTTGCAACACTGCTCGTTATTTTATTCCCACCCTGCAAGGGTGAGTTGAGGCTAAGAGTAAATGGCTTGCCTGAGAACTCCGAATAGATTGAAGTATGACGTCCTGGCTGGTAGTCTCCAGGATTTGTTACCTGGCTCTTTGTATTTTTTGCATGTTCTTCAAATGGTAAATTCTGTTCTTAATTTTAAAAAATCTAGACCTGTATTGCAGGAAAGAGCCAATGTGCAGATCATTCCTATACAGTAGTTCTTCAGTAGATGGTGAGATTGTTGTGACGCTCCTGAGCGGTATGCATCAGTAATGCCAATTTTTTTTTTCCTGGTGGGGAGTCACGGGGGTAGAAGCAGCAGATTAACGGACATGCTCATGTGCCAGAGCAGAAAAGCCTTCATGGCACTGGGTCAGAGAAGTTTGAAATGTAGGGTGGGTTTGATGCACATTCATCCTAAGGGTTGGGGAAACGCAGCAGGCCCAACATCCATGCTCCCAGTCTTTGCATCTGTCACTGCGCAAGCAAGGAGACACTCCAGGGAGTGGAATTGTCTGAGCCAATGAGGGTCAATGTCTCCCAGTGAACAGTTGGACTAGAATTTCAGAGGAGAAACCTGCGTTCAAGTCCCATGTTCAGGTGTGTTGTGCAGCTTTTGGAAAATCACATTCTCTTATCCTGCTTTCCCATCTGCACAATGAGAATATTAGTTATCTCCCTCACAAGATTGCTGAGGGTACAAAACATTGTAAGTTCTTTGGAAATTAAAAATACTGTATAAAACAGTAAAAGTATTTGTCTCAGGAATGATTTGAATGGGCTGGATTACTTTGAATAAGTTTCCCAGCAGAAGAATTCAGTGTTTGGGGAGGTTGTGCAGTTGGGGTAAGATCTTACTATTTGGCCATCTGTTGGTGCTTGGGGTGAAGACTGGAGCAGATAAAAAACCATGTCTTCGGTTAACAATGTCTTCATCCCATTGTTAACTATGTTTGAAAGGTGCCCCCCTTTGGCCCATACAGCCCTCCTTAAACTGCCTTACTTTAGTCTGCTTATCTTCAACGTTTATTTACCTCCATGTTCCAATAATACCGAACTTTTGGCTCAGTGGGACAGCTTAAGTACATATATTAAGGCTCTTGAGCATGAATATCCTTTAGCAGAATCTAGGATTGCTGGTGACTGTAATGCTGAGCTAGGGAGGGATAATCAACTCCTTTACAAGGCCATGGGTTTTGACATTAATGATCCCCAACTCAAATATATTGTTCCCAGAAGACAGTCTAAGGACATTCATGTCAATATGGCAGGGCCATCTCTGGCCAAATTCTGTATGTCAGCTAGCAGATTAATTCTAAATGGGTCATCCCCTCATGATATGCCTGGTGAATATTGTCACGGCTCAGGTGGGGCTCAGGGGGATGCTGCCACCACTCTGGATTTAGGATCCCTTGAGAAGGCCCAGAGCACCCTACCAAGACCTTCAGACCTCCCTTTTGGCCAAATAATAGGCGTGAAGACCAGGCAGAATGAACAATGAAAACAGTTTATTTTATAGGAGGTCAAACAAACAAGGTGCAGAATAATAACAGTAAGTGGGTGAAAAGAAAAGAAATCAAATGCCCTAACGCGTCTAAATATATACTGTCCCTAGCACACTATCTCAAGTGGCCCTAGTCTACTCACTCTTCCCTCAGGATGAGGGTTTCTTCCCCACGGTAGCCTCTCTTCTGGCCCTGTCTCCTGGGAAGAACAGCTTTTCTCTTGCACCAGTTCTTTTATTCCCTAGCCCTCTTCTTCCCTATTGGTCAAAATCGGCGCCAAAACTTCCCAAGGCCTTCTGGGGTTTGTAGGCCCAGCCTCCCCTACTGCTAGCCAGGCTCCCTGGGCCCAGTAGGCCTCTGGTGGCACAGCCCAGATCATGACACTCCTCCAGCAAACCAAATCATGGTGTCCAGCTCCGGATCCCCATTGATGCGGTCTGCACATGGGATTTGGGCTGTGCTCTGCCCTCTTTTAACTCACTCAACATTAACATATAAAAACAATAATAAAACAATAAAACAGTATTCTGATCAATATTAAAGAGAACACAACGTCAGGTTAATGCATTGCATTCTCTAATGTCTCATAATCAGTAGTAGCAAGGCTTTCGCTGGAAGTTCTAAATTGGATCTTAGCCACGCCGTTGAGTTCAGAGGTTTTAGAACATAAGAACATAAGAGATGCCAATGTAGGATCAGGCCAAAGGCCCATCCAGTCCAACACTCTGTGTCACACAGTGGCCAGAAATACCAGTGCCATCAGGAGGTCCACCAGTGGGGCCAGGACATTAGAAGCCCTCCCACTGTTGAGCCCCCCCCCCCCAAGCACCAAGAAGACAGAGCATCACTTGCCCCAGAGCCCCTATCTATACCTTGTGGTTAATAGCCACTGATGGACCTCTGCTCCCAGTCCCAGTGAAACCACAGCCTGCAAAAATGTGTTTGTTTCTGTAGGACTTGTTTTGGAGTCCTGTAGATTCCAAAGGATGATGTTGCATCATCCTTGCAAGGATCCCACAAGCGGGAGTTGACAAGCATCTGATGTCTTGATTGCAGGACCGACCGAGACGTGTGACACCAGGAGCCGCCTTCCGGGCACCACTCCCAGGCCGCTCCTGCTCCTCCTAGCCTCGCCCAGCATTTTAGGCACGTGGTCTCACCCGTAGCATCAGTCCTGGAGTGGTGGTGGTGGGGTGTGTGTGCATGTGTGTGCGCGCTCGTGTGTGTGTGTGCAGATCCTGACAGTGCCGAGCAGGCCAGTACTAGCGGAGGGTGCAGTTCACTTGGTCTTCTCAAGGTGCAGAAGGTGGCGGTCCGCACCACGAGCTGAATGTGGTCTGCTTGTCCTGAGAGCTGAATTTTGGTGACGGCTGCTGATCTGATTTTTTTCAAGGGGCCCGACCAAAGAATGTCCAGAGGAACAGCATGAGCAGCGCTGGCGTCTTTCAGTTCCCCTCTGAAAAGGTAATGGGAGTCTGCAACGGGAGTGGATAATGCTCCTCTTGGCTGCCCTGCAAGCTTCTTGCATGTCCATGATAGCTGGGAAGTCTGCAATTAGCAGATAATGGGGATTAAGCCATGAGAGCTCCCGGGGAGCTTGAGAACCACTCCATGCGGGGCCTCTGTGTTTCGGCATGGGTGGCGTGAGGTCCTTTGTGGGGAAGAGGAGAGAGGCCTGTGTCCTTTTTGCCCTTTGGTGGCTGAGAGTTCTTCAGAGGGTTCTGGGAGGCAGAAGCCTAAACCGGCTTTGCTGCTGTACAAAGCCCAGGCTCAGGGTTTGGAGAGAGTGTCACTGGTAAATGTCAGCTAACAAAATGAATGGCTCTGATGGTCTGCTTCTCTGGGGTGTGAAGCTGAATTCAATCCACGTGTCAAGCCCCTTCTGAAGACTGGTAGTACTTTCTGTACAGCAGCTCCCTTCCTGGATCACTATAGTGTCCTCCTGCAGTGCCCATCAAGCTCCTGGCAAAAGTCTGAATCCACCCCCACCCACCCCCCATCCCACCCCTTTGGGTCTTGGCAGCTCTCCTGTTTCAAATAGTTTGCTGGACCCTGATGGAGGCCTCCTTTGCCTCCAGGTTCCCTAAGGGAATACAGTTAAGACACTTTAGTTATTTTCATGATCATACGCCTCTTTAGCAGTGCCTGTTTAAAAACAGCATAGAAACTGTTTCTTGTTCTTTCCAGGACCAGAATGGAGAAAGTCACCCCATGACAGATCTGAAGACAACCGGGAAAGATTATTTGTCACTGCCTGCCAGATCCAATAACTACAGCCAAACCATTTTTGAAACAAAACCTCCAGTGCCTAGCGGATTCCCATTGGAAGCCAGTGATGTCCAAGTCCAGTTGGTAAGACGATAGTGGTATTTTTATTAATGGTGTCTACCTAAACATGGAAAAGTTCCTTTTCTCCCTGGCTTCATTGATGCTTACTGTGTTAGGTCAAGATAGGTGGCTGTGTTGGCTGTATCTGAAGAAGTGAGCAGTGGCTCCCAAAAGTTCATCTCCCCCCCCCCCACACACACACAAACCTCAGTCTCCAAGACATGTGCAGACAATGCTTTTTTGGGGGAGGGGGGGAATTTAAACTTCCCAGTGTAATTTTTTGCAGTTTTCAGATTTTTCTACAAACCTCGGGCTTTGGAGGAAAATCTCCTTTCTCTCAGTGTGGGCCCAATCTGCAGATTTAGGTATCCACTGCTTGGCAGAGAATGCACCTGTCTCCGGTGGTGGTAGGAGAAGCCCGGAAGCCCCACTGGGCCCCTGTCCGTTTGTTCAGTGACTTGGGCACTGCCTCGCATTGCAATATTCAGGCAGTTCTCCATATAAGATTTGAGTCCAGAAACACCTTAGAGACCAACAAGATGTTCAGGGTTTAAGCATTGGAGAGTCAGAGCTCCCTTCCTAAAACAGATGGGGATGATGTGGAGACGGGGGAGCTGATGCGTTGGTGGGCTGCTGGTAACAGACCAGGTTTGTGGCACTGGCAGGACAAATGTGGCCTGACCTCTTTTCTGCTCATAGCCTTTTAAGCATGCAATATATAATTTTTTGAACACAACATTGAATGTAACTAAACAATAGATAGCGATAGAAGTCAGCGAGATCTGAACACACTGGAAAAGTGGGTGGATGTGAACAAGATGCGATTTAAAATGGATAAGTTCCAAGTTCTACATCTGGATAACAAAAATGAGGAACTCGCATACTGGATGGGGAATATGTTTCTGGGTAGCAGTGTGTGTATGAACAAGATCTTGAGGTATGGGTGGACCGTAATATCAGCAGCCAGTGTGATGCGGCAACAAAAAAGGCTAATGTGATCTTGGGGTTTATCAACAGAGGCATAACCAAATTTGGTGGGGGCAATATGTAACCTCTCTATTGGAGGTGGAAGAAGGCATGAATGACATTTGGTGGGGCTCCCCCTGGGGCCCAATCTGCCGGTGGCAGCGGGGAATGGGCCTCTGGGGCGGGGGTTTCTCCGCCCCCCGGGGGGACTTGGCAAGCCTGCACTGGGGTGAGGGATGGGTTTGGGCAGTGGTGGGGGAGGGGACCTCTAGGTGGATTCTCTTTATCCAAACATCCTGTTCCCAAGAGGAGCTAAATCCGTCTGTGTGGGAATGAAGGACTGATTTATGCCTATAGATACATTATCACCCCGTGCTCAAAATCGTGCTCCTCGTTTTAGGCACAATAAGAGTCTTGCTCTTCTCTCTTTCCTTCACTTTTCCCCGTCTTCACTTTCTCCTTCTTTCACGGGTTTGCTTACATGCATAGAATATAAATGCCAGACTATGATCTTTGGAAAAGGTAGGAAAAGAGGAGGAGGAGGAGGAGGAAGGCAGGCAGGCAGGCAGGCATGTAGGTAGGTAACCAGCAATTACCAGTTAAAACAAGCCACAACACATTATGCAACATTTTGTTGCGGGTCCCCTCTTGTATATTCTAATACACAGATAATTTGGAACCAACCAGAAGGCAGAACCCTAGAGACCAATGGCTAGGCAAAAGAAACCGAAAGATACCATGCTAGCTGATTCTGTACTTACAACCGGGGCGAAAACCTTGGCGTTCCTCTCCTTGGAGTGGGTTCTTGGCAGAGCATCCTGGCAGAGCTGGCCACAGAGATCAGTGTCCTGGCAGAGCGCCGAGCCAATCTTCAGTAACCCAATCAAATGATGGGTGGGCAGACTCCAAGCCTGCTCTTGGCCAGTCACCTCAAAAGTCTGGATAAGGATCTTAGGATGCCAAGACTGGATATTACAATGGAACCCTCTTGGCATCTCTGGCAGTTTGGCCAAATGGCAAACAGAGTTTCTGCTTCTTCCGGTTAGCCCCGAGATGCAGCACAGGGTGGCAAATTTGAGTTACCCGTCCATTTAGAAGAGCTGCCAGGGTGTTGTTCTGTAATCTGGTGCGGATAAATTGGGGCTTTGTCCTTAGTACTAAGGAGCTGTGGTGGCTCAAGTGGTTGAGACGCTGAACTGCAGGCTGTGGAAGGTCAGTAGTTCAGCAGTTTGAGACCCGGGTTGCCGCATGACGGAGTGAGCTCCCGTCTCTAGTTCCAGCTCCTGCCAACCTAGCAGTATGCTTCTACTAACAGGAGCAGCCGATGGGATACTGGAGGAATCCACGCTATTGAAACATAAAGTCATCAGGAATGGAAATACAATCTCCTCCTCCTCCAGTAGAGCTGGTACCTGCCCTCTTGAAGGGATACATTTATAGTTCTCTCCAGCAATATCAGAAAGTAAATCTATGCTTCCTTTTACCAACAGCTGGGACAAGAGATGTTGGGCATACTTCCCATATACCCTGACAGCACCTGAGATAGAAACATAATAAATCCCACTTAACAAATTATGACAAGGTGCTAATATCACTTCTGGGGTAGACTCTGTCCTGGCTGCCGCATCTGAGTCTTGGTGAGTCGAAGCAGATTGACCTGCCTAGCCCCCCCCCCCCGGCCCTGTGATGCCTTGCCCTGCTCTTCTTTCTGGCACTGGAGGCGTTAGTGGACAGTGACCACCCGTGTTCCCTCCAAGCTGAGTTAGTGTGAGCCAGCTCACAGGTTTTTTAGCCTCCGGCTCACACATTTTTGTCTTAGCTCAGGAAGGAGGGCTCCAGAGCAGACTAATTTATGCAGCAGCCAAATCACTCACTCACAACTTTAATGCCAGCAGCTCACTGTCAGACCCCACAGCAGGCAATGAAGTACACACTTGCAGGAAGGTTTTACTTTATTGAAGCCATGAAGCACTTAGAACAGATTCTCTGTTCAGAATAACGAGATGTGCGTTTGACAGATAGGTTAAAGCAGATTCATAATCACACTAGCCAATAGATATGATTCCCGTGGCCGCTCAGAAGGCTCATCGCGCGCCCAAACCCTGAGAAGCAACGGTTCTATACAGTTAAACAATTAGACTATTCCCACACTACATGTTCATTACAGACTAAGCAATAAGCCTCCTGCCACTCACCACCTGTGGCCTTGGACTGATAAGGTTCCATCAAAGCAAGACTAGTGTACATAGAAAGGAATGCAGCCTAGGAGAAGATGAGCGCATGAGAGTGAGGGTAGACATGCGCACACGAGCAGATTACATTCACCATGGCAATGGGGGGGGGTTAAGGGCATTCTGAATACACATAGGAAAGACCCATTGGCAGCTTGCTGACACTCACAAAGCAGAATTTTTGCTCACAAGACTCCACAGCTTAGAGGCAGCATTGGTGACCACACAAGCGTGTTTACGGTTTCCCGTGTAAGGACTTGCAGTTGTAATGCCGTGAAGGAAAACGCCAGTTCTCATGATTTGTGTGGGCCCATCCAGCCTTCTCCTGTTGGATCAGCCTCAATTTAACTGCTGTCCCCTTCAGCCCCATAGCAAGGAATTCTTTTGGAGGGGACTAATCAAATTAAATTAAATCTGCAGCTCCCGACACCCCAATCCTATCTCCCACCCTGCCCCAATCTTCCCCGATCACTTCTTTGACTGGGCAGCATAAAATGACCTAAGGGTGGAAGGAGCCACAGTTTTCCAGAAGAGAAAACAAGAAGGGCCAGGAGAGAAGACACTCGTGATCGTTTCCCAGTGTGGGTGGCTGCTCCCCATAAAGTGCTCCATACAGCCCGTCCCTGAAGGCATCACTACTCAAGTGCCAGGAGGACTTGTGTCCAGGGGACTTTGCAGGTTGGCTCTGGAGATATGGAACAAGTGCCAGACCTGGGACATTTTCCTGGTGGCAGATTACCTCAGCGGGGGAGGGGGGGAGCGTCCCTCACGAGTGGGAACTCAACTGGAGATGTCTCGAACGGGTATTCGACAGATGGGGTCATCCAGATGTGGATGTTTTTGCAACAAGGCACAACAAGAAGTGTCGCTTGTTCTGCTCCAGATTCGGAATGGACCCCCTCTCCCTAGGGGACAGTCTCCTATACCCCTGGTCAAATCGATTCCTCTACCTGTTCCCACCAATTCCACTACTTACCAGAGTGCTTCACAAGGTGATGGAAGAAGCTCCTCGATGCATTCTCGTGCCCCCCTGGTGGCCTCGGCAGCATTGGTTTCCCACTCTGCTTCACATGTCAAAGAGCTCCTTCATTCACTTTCCAGTGGTGCCGGATCTCCTCCTTGCTCAGGAGAGCTTGGTGTTGTACCACGATGTGCCGCATCTCAGACTGACAGCGTGGAGGATCCTGTGAATGTTCTCTGACGTTAGGGTCGATCACATGCTGCTGAACTGTCGAAAACCCTCCATCTGTAGTTCATACGATGGAAAGTGGAGACGGTTTTTGTCTTACCTTCAGGAGGTTGGTCTGCCCAACCTCATTGTTGTTTTTGGTTTTCTGTTGTCTCGTTTGGACCAAGGCCTCAGCTATTCCTCGGTGCAGGTATACCTGGCAGCAATTTCTGCTCATCACCCTCCAGGACAACCTAAGCACCAGGGTTGCAGAGGGAAATGTGGCACAGCCTTCAGTTCTAAAGGGACACGTGGAACTGTCACTTTAAATATGCATGTTGATTGTTTAATACTGTAGGCTTGTGGTTTTAATTGGTTTTATAATTTGTATTGAATTATCCTATTGTAAACCACCCAGGAGCTGCGGTGGCTCAAGTGGTTAAGACGCTGAACTGCAGGCTGTGGTAGGTCAGTAGTTCAGCAGTTCGAGACCCGGGTGCCGCATGACAGAGTGAGCTCCCGTCTCTAGTTCCAGCTCCTGCCAACCTACCGTAGCAGTTCAAAAGCAAGAAATTGCAAGTAGATAAATAGGGACCACTTCGGTGGGAAGGTAACAGCGTTCCATGTGCCTTGGTGTTTAGTCATGCTGGTCACATGAC